TTTAGGGGTTGCATTTGCTCGTTTATGTAGTAGTGGTAGTTTAGAGAATTGGAGGAGAGTGGATATGAAATTAATAAAATATGATTTATGTTGGGTCCACTAGTATAGAGATATGAATTAATTATTGAAAAGGTTTCCAAATAAAGAAATGAAGCAAGTATTTACAAACGATCGCAAAGGAAAAGTGGAGCAAGTATGAAAAACGAAGGGAGTACAAAGTAAACTTTATATCTCACTATTAAGAGGTTGTGGAATCAAATCCTGTGAGAGATTCCGACTCGATAGGACTCCCCAACTCCTTACGAACAAATAAAAACCAAACTAGTGTGTAGTCCGAGCGTTGTACCGGTTGCTACTTTAATTAGACCTTGTGATTATCAATTATATACATCTATTTTCATTTTTATAGCATAGCTTATGATTGGCTTAAATGGTTAATATCTCTCTTTCTTATAAAAGGTTGGGTGTTCAAATCCCCTTATATGGCGTGGTCTACTTGGCACAAAGACGTTCTTAGTAATGCCTATTAATATATTAGTATGGATACTTTTAAGGAAAGCATTTGGGCTATTCATTACACGCACGATCTTAGCGAGGGCTAACAGATTTTGGAAGCATTGTAATTTGTCAAAAATGTTTCCATATTTGGGAAGAATCTTAGCAAGGCCCACCCCCTTGATTTTATACGAAGTATACTACATTATGTTGCACTTTTTTTTTTAATTCCATTTTTTTCTTGCATTTTGGCTTTACTTTTTGTTATTTTAATAGTATGAATTAAAATTGTTTCCAAAAAAAAAAAGTATGAAATAAAATTTTAATCTTAAGGGTTTGTTCTCTTCAGTTTAATTTCAGTTCAATGTAACTCCAATCAGTTCAGTTACTAGTTTTCTTGTTTCATAAACAATTCATTTCAATTCAGTTCAGCTCCAATCAATTCAGTTCTCTTCAATTCAGCTCAACTCAGTTGAGTAAGTCAAAACAGGCCTAATGTTACGTTTATTTTACATATGCTTAAGCTACATGACTAATAAGATGTGGATTTTTTTTTTTCAAAAACTTATTTAGTTAACACTTCAATATTAATATGTATAGAAAAATTGTAAATATCTATCCCTTAAATAATTTTTTGCCAATTCCGAGCTCAATTTGGTTCCTTAGGGCCTAAAATGACCGTTAAAACCTTAACCGAACATTTTTCTACACGCAAACCGTTGAAAATATTGAATTAGGTTGCAATTTGCAATTTATAACAACTTTTGGGATGTAATTCTCTCATAAAATATTCAATTCAGTTCAACTCAACTAAGTTCAGTTCATTTCAGTTCACCTTATCTCAGTTAATGAGAACAGGCCCTAAGGCGGAGTGGGGCATATTTTGGGGCATCTACAACTTAAGAACCACCCTACCTGCCTATGGAGGGTATGATTTTCATCTCCATAATCCCGCTCCCACCACCCGCCATACATAGACCCAAATCCGTTGGCAGGTCTACTATTTGACCGATCCCACTGACTTTCCTAATTCTTCTCTTTCATCTTATAATCATGATTCTTCCTCATCTTGTCATTAATTTTGATTTTTACATCTAGGGGTGTAAATAAGTCGATACATTCGTGAATTACTCGCAAACAAGGTCGGTAAAAGCTCTATCAAAACTCGTTTGTTAAGCTAACAAAGAAGGTCGGTAAAATATGCAAACGAGTATTTTCAAGCTCGAGATAGTTCGAACACAAATAATACTTATCAAACTCAGCTCGAACAAGCTGAAACTTAGCTAAACTCAAATCGTTTGTAAATTACATCAATAATTTTTTGTTTTACTGATGTATGTATGAATACTCCCTCGGTTTATTTGTTATGTGCATCACATTTCTAATATGCTATTTTTGTAAAGTACATCACTATATTGTTTCTTCTTTCATTATTATTTTTTTATTATTATATCTCTTTCCTCACATAATCTGTGTTCATATTTTTTTTTATTATTTATTGTTTCTCATATCCACTACTTTTTGTTTTTTTTTTTTGAAAACTTATTTTGGTAAAACTATTATTCTATTAATACTCCGATTACACGCCTTCAACAAGCTCCACTGGCTTTCAAGTCAATGGCTTACGTACTGAAATTCATAAAAGTAAGGCGCGAGGCTGACAAAATTTACAATAAATGCTTCTGGTTAGCTTTGTCCTGATGTTTCCTCACCATAAATGCTTTTACAATAAATGCTTTTACAAAGCAACACAGCTAATCATTAACTAGATGAAGTAGTCTTGTCCAATACTAATTTTACAGGGTATATTGTAAAAAAAGGCAAAAGCTAATGAGCGCTTCCGGGGCGTTAAATAAGAGAATTAAAGTGCAAATATTAGAGTAAAATTAACATTTATTACACCGAACGACGCGTGATTTTGTCATGAATTTCTAAGTTAATACCATTTCAACCAATATAATTTATCCTTATCTAACGCCCCGAGACGCTCGTTAGCAAGATCGTTGTAAAAAATTGCAATACTAATTCAATACTATATATAATACGGTACCTAGCTACACCATTATTTTGTATACTTATACCAATGTCAAGGTTATTGAAACATTAGACTTTGTTTAAAAAATAAATAGATAAGATCTATGAGCTTTTATATTGGACAAAATAAATGTTGAAACTAAAGAGAGAGATAAAAACTGATAATTCGATATATTCACACAGTGAAATCAACTTACATAATGCATTTAAATAAAATGAAAAACCTAACTAATGGGTCCTATAATTTAGGATCATTATCCCACTAACATAGTAACATTACTCCACTATGTACATAACCAAAAACACTAAAAACAATATTCCTAAAAATACTCCAACTAAGTTTGAATTAATCAACCAACACACCCCCTTGATTCAAACTTACTGAACTCGACTACGGACTACCAAGATACAAATTACATAAGCGCAACCATGAACAGGCAAACACGACTTGAACACAACAAAAAAACTCTCGACTTTGACTTGAACATGACCTTGAACTCGACACAAACATTCATAGCCCCACGACAAACATGGCTTTAACTACGACATTTGACTTCTTGCATAGTCACGACCTCTTCGACTTTCTTCATCATGACCACGACTTGGACCTCGACTTGGATGATGCTATTCCCACGAACGCGATGCACATATTCATCTCTTTGCTATAGAAACTACGACCACAACCACACAACTACATACACTCGACTTTTCCATATCGCCATGAACACATATTAATTATTAATTATTAATTATTAATTATTAATTATTAATTATTAATTATTAATTATTAATTATTAATTATTAATTATTAATTATTAATTATTAATTATTAATTATTAATTATTAATTATTAATTATTAATTATTAATTATTAATTATTAATTATTAATTATTAATTATTAATTATTAATTATTAATTATTAATTATTAATTATTAATTATTAATTATTAATTATTAATTATTAATTATTAATTATTAATTATTAATTATTAATTATTAATTATTAATTATTAATTATTAATTATTAATTATTAATTATCAATTATTAATTATAATTATCAATTATCAATTATCATTTATTAATTATGAATTATCAATTATGAATTATGAACTATTAATTATCAATTATCAATTATTAATTATAATTATCAATTATCAATTATCATTTATTAATTATGAATTATCAATTATGAATTATGAACTATTAATTATCAATTATCAATTATTAATTATTGTAGACACTCATTTGTCTCCCCAAAACCAAACCCAGTGATGAGTATCTTTCACGTCGAATCATACACTAGTAGAAAATATCATTTGGTCACCGGTTCAAAACCCCCCTATGCCACCGGTTTTGAACTGGTGGGGATTTGGGGGGTGGCAATAAACAGACTCAAGGCCACCGGTTCAAAACCGGTGGCAAAAACTAGTATTGCCACCGGTTAACCGGTGGAAAATCCCTTCCCGCTTTTTTTTTTGTAAGGGTTATTGGCACCGGTTTTTGCTCAAAACCGGTGCCTTTAATGACAAATTTTTATTTTATTTTTTTTGCATTTTTTTCACTTAAATTGATGTATAAACACTAATATATATATAAACTTACATATTTTTATAAAAAAAGATGCTGTAATATTACAATTTTCGTCCAAAAATAAAATAAAATAAAATACAAAGTTACACGGCAGCACAGAAGCAGCTACAACACAGAAGCAGCAGTAACACGGCAGCACAGATACAACAGTAGCTGCAGCCTTACGAGGCAGTAGCTGCACCAAAACAATCAGAAATTGCAATTAGATATTAACAATGAATAAAAAACAAAATTGAAACTAAACCTGTAATATTCTTGAGAAATAATGTGGGATGGGACCAAGATAATAATCTTTAAATTAGCTAATCAGAGATGGCAACAAGAACTAATACCCTTCAACAAATGTCTACTAATCAATCCAATAATGTCCACATCATAACATCTGCTGGACCATGTTTTATATAAAAACCATTACGTTTGTATTAAAAGCATATGGTCATACCACCATACAGATATATTTCGATAGTTGTGGAATAATAAGCAACATGGGTTAGCAAGATAATTAATTCCCCATTAATATGATCAAGCACACCTTAAGTTGAACTGTTCACACGTATTTCCATGTCAAAACAGGTAGGTACATAAGAAAGGTTCCACAAGATATGTGGCACTCTGGAACTCCAATTTCCCCAAAAGCCTCCTTTTCTTAATAATGCCTTCCTCTTTTATACTCGTATGTATCTTAGCAAGAGAACATAAGATAAATGGAACCAAATTGGAATTCTTTACAGTGAGAAACACTCTCAAATATTTGGAGAGACTACTATATGCATAATCTAAATATCTCTAAATAGTAACATTCTCTTTCTCAGATGTCTCCTACAAAAAACATTCCAGTCAAGTTAAGAGGTTTAGGCTACAACTCATATGTCACCAATGTGCATTCGAATATGTTTTTGGCCATATATTTAGCTATTTCCTTGGCAAACTCCAAAGAAAGCAACTTTGGATAACTTCAAAAAACTACAAATTATGTGTGATAACAAGTTCTACACCATGAAACCTAGAGTCACTCACTTCCATTATGCCTATTAGAAGATAAAAACCATGTTTTGCCTTGTCATTACCTAGTATGACAAGGCAAAGAGGAATGTGACAGAGAGATCAGAGACATCGATATAGCATAACGTGTTGACTGTGCACATAGTTATTATACTACCAACCTTCAATCACAATAAATAAGGAAATATCTGATCACATGGCCATAGCAAAATTAAAAACTCTATATATGCTGTTGGAAAAGAATCATTGATACATTACAAGAAAAAGACAGAAGCAGCAGCAACATGGTAGCACAGATACAGCAGCAACACAGAAGCAGCACCCTGCGAGGCAGCAGCTGCAGCAACAGATGCACCAGAACAATCAGAAATTGCAATCACAAATTAACAATGAAAAAAAATTAAGAAACAAAATTGAAACTAAACCTGTCCTTATTAAGCACACGTCTCGGAAATTACTTTTCCTGCAAAGAAGAAAAACACAGAAAAAGAGACCAATAAGAATAGCACCAAATAAATGTAAGATTAGTGATAGAATCTATTTTCTTTCTCTACTTAAACTCTTCAACAACTAATTGAATAAAAAAACACTATGATATTTTTAATTACTATGGACTCAATCTCCACAATAGGTGAAGCATAGATATACACTTATGAAACAAATCACAAAAAAAAAAAAAAAAAAAAAAAAAAAAAAAAACAGATCAGGCAATAATAAAAGAACTGCACTTAGAATTCACAAAATATGCACTTACAAATATCACAATACAAACAAAAATGATAGTTACCAAACAAGCACTTCCAATTCGAAACACCAAAACTATTACAATTTCAACAAACAAGATCACAGTTGCACCAAATCAAATGCTAAACAAAAAGCAACAATAATCTAAATCATATCAGATATCACATATTTAAAAATGAAATTACATTAAAAGGTTAAATAAAAACTTACATTCCACCAACTCCTCCAATAACCTCCGAACTAATTGGATGAAATGGAAGCTCGCAAATTCCAACCTTAAAACACCAATCATTCAATAATTTAATAGATACTCAATCAAATCATAATAACAATAATAAAAAAAATTAAAAAAAAAAGTAAAATCTAATTCTAATTCAATCCTTTACGAAAATCCATCTAAAATAAAATTAACATGAGCAGTAATTTATAACCTTAACACCAATTTGAACATTTGAACCCTTTATGTATATGGTGTGGACAAGAAATAAGACCTTAAATATATGAACAGTAATTAATAAGAAAACCCAGAAGCAGCAGCTCTTATCTCGTCCAATTTGAACTCAGTGAAACTCGGTTGAGACACACTTTCATCTTTCCCTTCGTTTTCTACAATCACCCAGAAAGCAAAAATATATAAGCATCAAAACAAATCAAAGATTAAACTACAAACAGTTAAACAACATCCACAAATTCAATCTTTGATCTCAAAACATAACAGACCATAACTCCTCCTGGATCAGATCCAGCAACTAAAACCCAATCAAACCCATAATCCCCTTTACTCCTGATTCCAATTTAATCCCATTCATGTAACTTACTATTATTAGCTAACAAAAGGGACAAAATCGAACTCAAAATCAAACATCACATACAAACTCAAACCCAAACACAACAACCACATCACAAAATCCAAAATATAACCTTATAACTCAATGAAATCGAAATCAAAATCAAAATTCATATTATCAGCTGTAAATACCCCCAAAAAAACCCACTAGACACTCAAAAACACCCAGAAAAAGGCCATAAAAAATCGAAACATGTCTGTCAAACATTAACACAACAACCTAATCAATTCCAAATCAATTCAAACCAAAAAAAAATCAGAATTTTAGTAAATTGAAGCCCGATCTGAACCAGATCCTAACCCTAAAAACACAATTCAGCAAAAAAAAACAAATCGAAAACAATCGAAAAAATTACAAATACAAGTACCTTATTCTCGGATTTAAGCAGAGGACTCAAGAAGAGATAGAGAGATGGAGTAGGCTGGCGGATCGCGACCACCATCACCATAATCACCTTGGCGCCGTGAAGAGAACAACATGTTCATCAACCTCATCACAACATAACCCCAACTAATTCAATCAAACGCCCAATTCATTTCAATTTTTCATCATTAATCACAAAAAAAGTAAATAAAAATCAGAAACCCAAGATCTCAAATCGAAGAGCACATACCTTTGTGAAGAATTCCACCACATCTGCAAAGATCTGGCACCGGTAAATAAAAAGACCGTCAATTACGATGGTGGCGACAACATTCACCACCGCCGTCATCCTCAAATCCTGAATTCCCCAGTAATGCTGCCAAGAGAGAAGTGAAAGAAAGAAAGAGTGGAGTGGCGGTAGATGGGGCGGCGGTAGATGGAGCAAGAGGAGGCAAGTGTAGAGAGAGAAAGGAGGGTTTGAGCAAAGAGAAAAGAGAGGAGACGGAAAAATTAAGAAGAGAGAGAAAACAAAGGAGAGAGTACGAGAAGAGAGAAGTGGAGATGAGGCGCCTTTTTTTTTTAACAAAACCACCGGTTCAAAACCGGTGGCCTTTTACCATTTATGCCACCGGTTCGGATTGAACCGGTGGCAATTTAAATATATATAATCCCGCCCATTTTTTAAGCCACCGGTTTTTGAAAACCAGTGGCCATTGAGCGGTGCCTTTTTGTTTTTTTCTACTAGTGATAATCTAATGAAGTGAAAGTGTGGAAAGTTTAGTGTTCAGATAGTTTTAATTTCTTTTCTCTTCTCTCTATTTTTGAAAACTTATTTTAAGAGAATAGCCAATCCAGTTTAGTTGGTCCATGATATGGGTCCACTAGTAGTGTAGTTGGATGGGTCTTGACAAGAGCTTTCCAACGATATATTATAAGCCCAATTTCGATGAATATTGAGGAAGTTATGGCCAATTTACTGAATTGGGCCCGGTTTGAGTCTTATATGCGGCCCAATGATCTAGGGGAGGGCCTAATATAGATTTATCATTCCTAATGCAATTAGGAATGGTTTTAGTCTTCTAGATTCTTCTAGAATGTTCTTTTCATTCCTAATTCAATTAGCATTGATAAATTGACTTCTGTTGACTTTTAAGAGTTTTAATTAGAATCAAAGAAAATTTTTTGAGGAAAAATACGATTTTATCCTCCTGTCAATCACAGTGAGTCAAGTTTATACCTTGAGTCATGTCAAGTTAATGAGTCAAGAAATAGGTCAACCCTAAGATGATTAAAGAGATTAGCAAAGTTACATAGTAAAAAATAAATACAGGTGCAGCAGAATAGGGAAGACCCTACCCCAACGCCAGACGAAAACATCTAGCGTCTGGCAACAGTTTTTAGCGCCTGCGCGCTAAATCCCAGTGTCTGGCGACAAAGTCCATTCTTGGCGCCAGAGATATTTCAGCAGCGACAGAGCTCGAAGCCTCTCAGAAAGGTGATTTCGACCTCATACAGCAAATTCGGGTTCCTTGGTACGCTAGTTAGCCCCTATAAGCAATTTGACGTGATTAAGTAGTCGGTTTGATTACAGTCACAATAAGTGATCGACCTGATGAAAGATCATCTCACTTAGCTTAAAGCACCTAAGCGTTGGCTTATCACGGACATAATGGTTCACAAGCAGCAAACCGCCGATGTATTGGCATAGCGGAAGCAAAGTTCAAGCGAGCTTTAGAGATCGACAAGCGTTGGTCTTCGGAAATTTTTCTTCAGAATATTATCGCAACAAACGTTTAAGTATCGAAACTCTTTTGTTCAGAGACGAATGGACATATTATTCAAGCTCTATTGTTCAGAGACGCGTGGACATATTATTCAAGCTCTATTGTTCAGAGACGCGTGGACATATCTTTCAAGCTCTTTTGTTCAAAGACTCGTGGACATATTATTCAAGCTCTATTGTTCAGAGACGCGTGGACATATTATTCAAGCTCTATTGTTCAAAGACGCATGGACAAATTATTTAAGCTCTATTGTTCAGAGACGCGTGAGCATCCTATTTTCAAAGCTCTTTTCTTCTAGAGACGCGTGGGCATATCAATCAAAAGCTCTTTGTTCAGAGACGCATGGACATATCATAAAAGCTCTTTGCTCCAGAGACGCGTGGGCATATCATTCAAGCTCTTTTGTTCAGAGACGCGTGGGCATATCATTCAAGCTCTTTTGCTCAGAGACGCGTGGGCATCCTATTATCAAGCTCTTTGTTCAGAGACGCGTGGACATATCATCAAGCTCTTTTGTTCAGAGGCGCATGAACATATCCACAAAAAAAAAGCTCTTTGTTCAGAGACGAGTGAACATCAAAACAGTAAGGTGGCGTTCCCTAGATTATGGAGAGTTGTCACAAACAATTAAAGGTGATTTCAAGCGAAGTTGTCTTCGACCATGTTCCCTTAGACGTGGAAGATGGTCACATAGCGGAAGAGGATTGTTTCAAGCGAAGCAATCTTCGATGGTATTCCCTTGGACGTGGAATATTATTAAAGCGGAAGAGGATCGTTTCAAGCGAAGAAGTCTTCAATATTGGAAGCAGTTACAAGCGTAGCGGTTTTTAAGCGGGATGACATTCTCTTGGCAGGAGGTTATCAAAACCACGGCAATGCGGCAGCAAATCGGTTACTTTCAGAGACGTGTGCTCGACGGTGCAAGATACGCGTTTCTTAATTCTTTTATCTGTTTAACTAACGCTAGTTTGCAGGTATCGGCGTTACAAGAGTGATTTAGGATCGCAGAACGTTCTGAATCATTCTCCGTCCCTATCGATACTTTGACTTTTGTTTTCGAAACTCGCGTTTCTCCAAACTCAGTCAAAGTGGGGGCTTCTGTAGACACCCATTTGTGTCTCCCCAAAAATAAACCCAGTGATGAGTACCTTTCGCGTCGAATCATAATCGAATGAAGCGAAAGTGTGGAAAGTTTAGTGTTGCGGATAGTTTTAATTTCTTTTCTCTTCTCTCTGTTTTTGAAAACTTATTTTAAGAAAACAATCAATCCAGTTTGGTTGGTCCATGGTATGGGTCCGATAGTAGTGTAGTTTGATGGGACTTGACAAGAGCTTTCCAACGATATATTATAAGCCCAATTCCGATGAATATTGAGGAAGTTATGGCCAATTTACTAAACTGGGTCCGGTTTGAGCCTTATATGCGGCCCAATGATCTAGGGGAGGGCCTAATATAGATTTATCATTCTTAATGCAATTAGGAATGGTTTTAGTCTTCTAGATTCTTCTAGAATGTTCTTTTCATTCCTAATTCAATTAGCATTGATAAATTGACTTCTGTTGACTTTTCAGAGTTTTAATTAGAATCAAAGAACATTTTTTGAGGAAAAATACGATTTTATCCTCCTGTACGGCAATTTTTATCTGATTTTAAGAAAACGCGTGGATTTCTGAGTCAGCGCCAAACGCCAGCTGTAGCGCCTAACGCTACGATTGGCGCCTGGCGCCAATCTTAGCGACTGGCGCTAAGGTCAGCGTCTGGCGCCAACTCGGTTTTTTGCGTCAGAACTCTGTTTTTATATTTTATCTTTTGGCTGATTTTCTTTATAAATAACGTCGTAAAAACTCCGTTTTCATTCATCCACAATCACCTACAATCATCGATTCTTTCAATTACCAACTCTCATCAAGTTTTTGATTATTACTCTCTCTCCCTCTCTTTTCTAAACTAGCTTCTCTCAAATAAAAAATTCCGCATTCATTAGATCTAGATACACCTAGCCATATTCGAAGGTGCCTTCGCCCTAGACGTGAAAGGTTTAATTTATGAGGGTTTGGTCCCAAATCTCTCTTTCAATTATTTAATTTAATTTATTTATTTTTATTATTTTCCTTGAAGTTACTAATGCGTGTATTTTGTTATTAGAAAGAGGTACGAGGCATCAAAGTAAGTGCTTTAATGGTTTTTGTTGATGTTATGATGTAGAGTTCATGTTTATGATGTTATTATGATTCCTAGTATCATGTCTATGGTAATTTTAATATCAAATATGATTGTTATGATGCCTTTTATGTTCTTCCTAATATTTATGATTGTTAGTATCATGTTTGGGTTAACGCTTGAAATATTCCCTACAATTATTAATTATTAATTATTAATTTTTTTTTTCACTTTTTCTGTGTAATTGTCGTTAATTTTTTGGGTTTTTAGGCAAGGTGGTTGTGGGTGGTCATAGGTGGTGTTCGTGTGGGTGGTCGTAGCCTCGAGAGTGGTGTGGGGTATGGATCATGGATTTGAGTATGAGTCGTGATGGCACTAGATGTCGATTACAAGGCCCAAATAGCCCAATTTCTCAAAGTATATTGAATAACTATAAAATCTCGGAGTCAGGTCCGATTGGAGTTGGAATCGTAGACGGAGACATGATAGTTGAGTCCAATCGGAGTCTGAGCCAATTTTAGCCTCCGACTTCTAGCTAGTAGAATCGGAGTCGGAGATTTTTCATAATTTGCTCCGATTATGACCCGTTGTCATGAGATTATATAAATGGAGGGTTGTGAGACAATAAATTTATGTCTCACAAGGGTAATATAGGCATTTCACACGTTAGTTTAAAGTTGTCTCATTGAGTTATCAAATAATATCACTGAAGTTTCAGTGGTACAAAATACACTCTCAGTGGTACAAAATACAGTCTCAGTGGTACTTCAAGAAGCTCCACTGGAATTTTAGTGGAACAATATATAAACTCAGTGGTAGTGGTCCCCAATAGTTTTTGTCTGTTTTTGCACGTGATACATGTCTGAAAAGTTTTAGTAGGGCTCACACCACCTTTTTCACTCATCCTATCTCTCTCCTCATTTCTCTCTCTTCCTTGTACTTTTATGTTATTTTAATAGTTGTGAGACACTTCCATTTGTCTCACAACCCTTGATTTATACTTCTTCCTATTGTCATCCCTATACACTAGTTTAAGGAAACAATAAATATACAAAATAATAAAATCAACACCCATTTTAGTGTTAAAATCCATATGGGTCAGCCACTTAGCCCACTTTAAGTATTGAGGTATAGGTAGACCAATTAATTTTCAATCCAACAAAATTTTTGACCCGTAACTCGATATAACCTGAACCTGTTTAACCCGTAAAGTTGTGGGTCAAACCCGACCTGAACCCAAACCTGAACCAACGACTCGATTTTATGGGTGTATTCTTTTTAATAAATACATTTATTTGAAAATTAATGTTAGTTTATTGATTAAGTTTGATTGTTTGTCTACTATCAAACATTCATTTTATCTTTTTCTCATTTATCAATCTTATACAACTCTTGTGCAAATCCACACAAATCACCTCCGTCATCAATTATCGACCTACATTAATTGTATCTGTATAACCCACATTACTGTCATACCCCCAATCGATAGGTATACTAATATTATATCAAGAGATATAATACTCCACATATATAACTATGTTGGTATCTTCCTTAAATATCGGGATGTTTAAAGTTTTATTTTTCAGTTTGTTATCATTTTTTATTAGTAAGAATTGATGAGCTTTAGTGAAATGGTGACGGTTTAAATTATGTAGTATGTAATGGCGAAAAATAATAAGGTGAAAATGTTCGATTAAAAGATTGAAAAAAATTAGCAAAGTAAGCTTGAAAAATCAGATTTTTTTTTTTTAAAAAACAAAAAATAAAAATAAATTCAGTGGTCCACATACATCGGTGTACGTTAGGCCCAATAAGCCACCTGCACTTTCTCCCCAACTTGCATTGGAAAATGGATGCTTTCTCATCTTTGCTAATAAGCATCCTTCGCAATTTTCAAATGATTATAAATCGAATGAGTCGCGGTTTGGCGAGTGGTGGGGCGGGGATGGGGAAAAAACCATACCCTCCATGGGTGATGGGGCGAGGTGGATTTTAGGTTGTACCTGCCCCATCCCTGCTCCTCCCCTCCCGCCCCATCCCCATCCCATACTCATATATATATATATATATTGTATACTTTAATACTATATCATAAAAATTAATACTATATTTAAATTGTATACTTCTACAACAACAAGGCAACAACCATATCCAGTTCTTATGGATAGTTAAGGAGCCTGTTCCAAAATTGTGTTGTGTGGAAAGTAGGGCTCGCAAAAGCTGACCCAACTCGACAACCCGACCCGAACCCAACTCGAAATAAATGGGTTTTGAGTGAGATTTTCAACCCGTTTATGTAATTGGGTCAACCCAAACCCGACCTGAAGTTAAACAGGTCGGGTCCAGGTTGGAAATTCCCACCCGAAACCAACCCGCCTAACCCCGTTTAATTAATTGGGTTGGTTTCAGGTCGGGTCAACCTAAACCCAACCCGAACTTAGTTCTGATTTATTTTAAATATGGGCCAAGCCCAAACTATCTAAGCCTAAAAGCTAAAACCCTAAAAGGCTAAAACACTTCTCACGCCGTTTTGCCTCTCATTTGCCTTCTCTTATTTTTCTCTCTCATTCTTTTTCTCTCTCCTCTCTCTACTCTTTCTTGTTTTCAATTCTTTTCCATTAAAATTCTGATTTAAACTCGTTAATCTTAAGGTGACTTACTCGCAAATTTCATTATCTTTACTTAATTTCGTTGTGTTTTAATTTGATTATGTTTTATAATGCTCTATTATATTTTCAATTCAATGCATGCATTTTGTTTTAGCTTGTTTATGAGTTTATGTTTTATCTCTGCATTTTAATCAACTAACAATCGTTAATTATTAGATCGAATTATTAGCCTAATTTTGTTAAATTATTTTATTTGCTGTGTTTTAAGTTTTTTTTTTTTTTTTTTTTCTCTTTTTTTGGCCTTTTAAATTTTAATTTAATGATGTTGGTATTTTAATTCTTCACATTTATTCATGCGTTTGATTTAACTTTTCTTCAGGTTTAAATTTTGTATTTTTGCAAGTTCATTTTCTGCAATTTAATTTTTAACGAGGTTTGTTTCTGCTTTGTTAATTTCTTATGCATTCGAATTTGTTTTCACTTGCAGAAAAATAAGAATCCGAAAATCAACCATGGAAGAAGAAAGAAGGAATTAATGATAAAGACTGCAGTTTTTTGGCAAAATGGAGAAGCTTAGATGTAAATTATGTTGCACAAATGTACTTCATATATGAATTGTAATTATATAATGTTTACAGGATGTATTCAAATATTGTGAGTGTTAATTTGGATTAGTTTAACATCAATTTCCTTTGTATTTTTATACATATAAAAAACTTAATAAATTGTTTAAATAAAACTTTAAAAAATCAGGTTAAATAGGTTGGGTTCAGGTCAACCAGCTTATAAACAGGTCGGGTTCGAAAATCTGACCTGTTTATGTAAACAGGTCGGGTTCAGGTTTGGGGTTCTGACCCGTTTATATAAACAGGTCGACCTGAACCCGACCCGACCTATTTGCCACCCCTAAAAGTGGGAAGATACCAGGTACATGTAGCTCATGATCTAGCGAATAGGTGCAGATTGAATTTTACGTCGTTTACCATTATGTAACTTTCTTTTAGTCTCCTGATATCAAAAAAAAAATAAACGACAGCAATTATGAAGTTTGGCACTTTGGTAGTGTCAATGGCTGGGTTTGTTGCCGACGCTGTGGTTGATTTTTCTCTTCGCTGCAGCAACTGGTGCATTGCTTGATGTCATATTCTTACGAGCTCTCACATCCATATTAAATCCTTCTTGGTTAATTCTAAGGGGCCTGGTCAAACTGCAAATTATATTACTAGTTTTACTACATCTATATTTAAATAATGAATTAGGTAAACAACATACTACCTCCGTTGCAAATAATATGTAAAGGTAGTTATTTAATAAGCTTTCTTGTTATGATGATGAAAAAGGTGAACTATCTTAGTACCATATATCAATAATGATTACGTAAACAATATAATTTAATAGGAGAAATTTTGCATTAAACCACCTTTTATAACCATATTTTTAGAGGAAACCACCTTATAAATTTTTTTTCGCAAAAACACACCTTAATCTAAATTTTTTTTGCAAGATCACACCTTTGGCCGGAAAACAGACTTTGACCTTGTATTCCGGGGTTGACCCACCACATGTCTCGCACGTGACACCCTAAAAGGACGCACTAACCAATTTTCCGGCGGCCAACCACTTTCCATAGCCAACCAAAAACCCAGCCAACTAATTTCCCCCACCCGCTGCCAGACCCTGCTAGCTAAAGGCGCCGGCAACCACCTCCCTACCCCTGCGCCGGCGATCCTGCTCCCTTCCCTTTCCCCCAACCCACGAATTCTCTCTCCTCCCCTTCCACCTAACCACCATCACTTTCTTCACCCTAACCACCCGAACCCGAGATCCACCACCACCTACTTTCCTAAAGCGCTGCCCATGAATTCTCTCTCCTCCTTTTCCACCTAAAGCAGCGCCGCTCGATTTATTAACCTAAACCCACACTCCGCCATTCGTCAACCGCCATGAATGTTGCGCTTCACGAAGGTATGGGAATGGGTTGGGCTTGAGGGTTGGGTTTAAGGACGGGAATGGGAAAGGGAGGGGATGCGGTCGCCGGCGACGAAGGAGGGAGGTGGTTGCCGGCCACTGGAAGGGGGAGGGGGCTGGGGCAGAGGAAAAAAGGAGGGTTAGTGGTTTTAGGGGGTCATGTGCAAAGCACGTGGTCAGGTCAACCCCGGAAAACAAGGTCAAACTCTATTTTCCGGGAAAAGGTGTGGCCTTACAAAAAAAATATAGATTAAGGTGTGTTTTTGCGAAAAAAATTTATAAGGTGGTTTCCTGCAAAAAAGTGGTTATAAAAGGTGGTTTAATGCAAAATTTCCTTTAATAGGCTTTCTTGTGTATGATGAATAAGGTGAACTACCATAGTACCATATAACAATTGTGGAGTGAGGGATAACTCAATTAGCTTTCATCCCGGTTTCAGGAATCATGTGATTAATTCTCGTCACCCGTCCTTGTGGCTCTTTAAATACCAAAAATAAATCTATCAACATTGTGGTGTACGTACTAAAGCAGTAAAGCTTGATGTTTGCAAGATTTGGTTTCCATTAGTTTATATGAATGACTATTCTTAGATTATTGTTAATTTTCTTTTTAAATTTGTCTCCATTGAGTTTACCAATCTATATTTTAGGATTATAAAAAGTTTGTTCATCCCCTTATGAGCAATACTCACACATGCAAGGCACACGTGTGGGGGTAATTCAGGGTGCAAGTCATGCTAAAAAAATTTCTGGAAACCTCACAAAATTATTCATTATTTCTATAGTAGGAAAACCACCTTTAAAAAAAATTTTAAAATAAAAATAAAAACTTGTAAGAACACACCTTAATATAATTTGTTTTTTTGCGAGACACCACCTCCTTATCGCCAGATTCTAGAAATTGACCTTGTATTTCAGCGTTTTCTTGGTCCCATACAACCCTCTATCGTTTGCAATTGATGTGTAGATACCAGACAGTAGTGAAGCAAACGCACTGCACACTTCAAAAGCCGAAAATTGTTTCTGGAGTATGTTGGCAGTTCCTGCAGCTAGATGGTTTGTTGTAGCAAATGAACAGACCTTGCTCCTTTTTACTGGGTGGTCTCTTAGTAGGAAATGAGCAAATAACTTCATGCAGAAGATCAGGCATATAACAGTGTGTCTGACCCCCCCAGTCTCTTAGCAAGAAATGAGCAAATAACAGTGTTTCCAACTCTGGAACCTAATTGCTTCATCTCCTGAATTTGACCCAAATCAACTGACCTGAACAGAACCCTATCCGGATGACCCAATTGTCACCTCTACAATTACCCCCTAGCATAAAAGCTGTTTCAGACCATCATTGTATCCTGTCCGACTGAAGCCCATAGTGTTCGATATCCCAATTTGCTTTATCAGTTGGTATGAACCCAAATTTCATTTATAGAATCCCACTTTCCAGCAGCAGCAAATGAGTCTAATAGGGAAACGTGTGAGCCAATTTTTCAATCGAGACACAATTTAAAATATTCATAAACCACTAGACTTCCCATACTTTGCAAAGCAGTTTGCATGAACTGAGCAAACCAGCCCAGACACTTAAAAGTTGAAATAGTTTTTTTCTGGTATTCTCATAATAAACTTCCCACATGAGCGCTATGTTTCCAAAGTGGCACAAAAGATTAGCCATACAAACATAGTGCTTCACCTGAAGCTTCAATGTATAGTCCCTCTCCATGACTTCAAATATCTCCCAACCTTCGTCTACCAACCCAGCATATCTGTACACTAAGATAACAAACAAGAAAAATCTACTAGGATCAACAAAAATCAAATAAAAAACTAACATATAAAGCATAAAAAAGTCTTTTCAGGTCCATTGATTAAAATAGTAGCACGAGAGCATAAATGAACTAATGAAAGAACCCTTTCAAGTTTAGGGGATTATTTAGCAGTCATTCAATTGGACAATAATACAACTATTAATAAAAGTACTTAATTTAGTCATTTATCACTTTGTCTAGTTATCTACCTTTTGCACTCACTTGTGCAGTTCTTACATTGCAATGGAGAAAACCAATCTACACAATTGATTTATTAAGATTATCATTTGGAAGAAAATAAATAGTGTAGAGACCAGAACTTACCCATTCTTCTTTCCAACAGCATACATCAATAGGTGATGCTTTTTCTGGAGTGTGTGCAAGCCCTTCAACTGGAAGCTTTGTTGTAGCAAATGCATATATCTGTGCAGACTGTGCTTTTCAAAAGTAATTCTGATGCAGATAAATCCCAAAGGTGATTATCTGAATAATCATGCAAATGCAAGTGAGCTGATTGTTGCCAGCTTAAAAACCATTAGGCTATTCATATGATGTCAATATCCATTTCACCTTCACCTTAGACCAACATGAAACCGTTTCAGACCATCATCTGCTCCTGTCCAACTCAAGCCTGTATCTTTTAATACTCCTCTCTGCTTCATCAGTTCCCTAACTTTATTTGCAGAGTCCCACTTTCCCGCAGCAGCCAGTGAGTCAGATAAGGCAATATATGAACCTGGCCTTCCATAAGCACCCAAATTAAAAAGTTCATCTGCTGCTATACTTGCCATCTCTAGTTTGTCATGCAATTTACATGAGCTGAGCAAAGCAGCCCAAACATCTGAATTAGGTTTTTCGGGCATTCTCATCACAAATTCCCATGCCTGCTCTACATTCCCAGAGCGCCCTAAAAGGTCCACCATGCAAGCATAGTGTTCCATCCGAGGCTTTAATGAATAGTCCCTCTCCATGCTTTCAAAGATCTCCCAACCTTTGTCTACAAACCCAGCATATGTGCATGCCGAGATAGCACACAAGAATGTAACATAATTGGGTTTTATTTGATTCTTTGCTTGCAATTTGCTGAACATTTCAATCACTTCATAGGGTTTCCCATTTTTTCCATACCCATCAATCATGGATGTCCACGAAAATATATTCTTTTCAGGCATGGAATCGAATACTTGACGAGCATCATCAGTTCTTCCACATTTTGAATACATATCTATTAGAGCACTCCCAATTTTCACGTCAATAAAATACTTAGTTTTCACCAGGTGACTCTGTACTTGTTGACCAATTTCAACTGATGCCAACAGAGAGCATGCTCCAATAAGACTCGCGAAAGTGGAAATTGTAGGTAAATAACCTTGTCTCAACATATCAATGAAAATTTGAACCGATTTCTTTGCTGTATCAGTTGACTTACTATAACCTTCAATCATAGCATTAAATACCACAACATCTTTGTCAACTATCTCTTGAAACAGCGACTCAGCATCCTCCATGTTACCACTTCTTAAGTAGCCAGATATCAATGAAGTAGAATAAATGGCATTCTTCACTGACATTGAGTTAAACACACACCTAGCATAACCAAGCCTTTCAGATTTGACATACATATCTATTAAGGTAGCAAGAAGAACAACATCCACTACATCATCATATTTTAGAATCCGAGCATGCACTTGTCTTCCTATGTCACAGATAAAAAATAAGGGAACAGGTACAGAAGCCCACGCTTTTAGTATCAATGAATGTGTAAAGCTGTCAGGCTTTTCATCAGAATTGCACATCTGACGAACCAAATCAAAAGTTTCCAGAACTTTGCCATGCTTCACATAAGCATTAAGCAAATAATTATAAGCAGAGAGTGATGGATCAGGCATTTCTTCAAGCAACTGCCTCGCATAATTCATAAAGCCAGATTTCAAATGAAGGATGAGTAGTTTGATAGAAATGTTCTTATTTAGTTGATAACCAGCTTTAAGAATATGGCTATGAATCTTTAAGCCATGTGAAGGTGAATCTGAATTAATGAACTGTTGAATAGTGGTTGACAGCGAAACCGAAGTTGAATTTGAAATACAGGCAGCTGTTGGTGAGTGGAATTTCGGCACATGCAAAGCTGAGAAGCATAGAGATCTAATTTGGGTTACTTTGACATTTCTCATCTTACACCATAACCCTGGCTCACTATGACCTGATAAGTCAGCAAAATTACAGTAAGAATCAAAAAACAAAAAGAAACCTTTAACAGTACACCAGGCAATAAACTACATGCTTTCAGCTAGATTTTATTTTCAAATGTGACATCAATAGAATGTATTTCAATTCAGAAATTAGATGACTTTGTCGACAGAACCACGAACATCATGATTGATAATTTCCGAGTATACAAGTAATAAAACCACCAAGGCATCAATAGGATGTTTTCTCAGTTAAGCATACCAATCAAAAGTAGATAAACAAATAATATATAAACAGATAATCTTTTCTCTTCGCCAAAGAGTATCCAAGAAGGTTATTAACAACAATCATACGGAAATTTAGTTCAATTACAGGTAGCAACCACAAATCAACACGAGCAACAAATTATCTCAAGGTCTTTGAAACGGCTTCCAACTAAAGTGGATAAAAGGGTTGAAGTGTATACAACCTTGTCCTGCTGACAATGGTAAGGTTTGCATAAGACCTTGGACCCCAATGCAACACCTACCAGATACTTTACAGAAAATAAGTGCAGATGTTTGATAACGATGACAAGTCATTCTGAATTGGTCCATTATAATCCAAAACCAAATAATAATGAATTTTCCAACCCCAATTATAAATGAAGTATTGTTGGTTTATGAACAATTGTAGTTTGATAACTATAAGAACCACTATATAACAACAGTGTCAGCTTGATATAACCCCTAGCTAATGATGATGAACTGTGATTTTGAGATCCTTAGAGAAACAGAAAAGTCATCCACCAAACTTAAGAATAGGTGGCCTCCATAGACCTAATGACTCAGATTGACATTTTCAGACTCGATGCAAGAGAAATATTTAAAATTCTTGATGCAGAGGCTGGATATTATCTTAAAAGTATTCCCCCAACAGAGGTGTATAAATTGAGCACCCAACTAAAATGGGATTAGCCCTACAGAAGAAGAGTGTTCCTCTTGTGGTAGAGCATTATAAAAGCCAAGTATTTTGTGTAGCAAAGCATGCAAACTCAACATTTTGGCAGGCTATGGTGATTATGCCTTCCCAATATCTTTCTTCACTAGGTTCAATTAGGGATAAGTCCCTGTTCTCTAAACACACCAATAGCATGCCACTAAAGACCAATCTGACTATTGTAAAATACATCAGCACATAATGACACAACCCAAAAGTTAACCAGCAAAGACTTCTGAGAACATTCAAAAACTTCTTCAATGGAATAAACATTGATAGCACATTCTGCATATAATGGTAGAAGTTAGAAAATCTACAACATATAGGAAGACATAGGAGCTAAGAAAATCTCAAGCCTACCTACATAGTAAGCAACAAATCTAACTTTAACTATAAAGCAAAGAACAACAATATACTCACTCAAGTACTCTATTACTTGAGTTACGTGAAGCAAAAAAACAAAATATACTAGTCCACGTGTTACGTCTAAGGTAAAACAAGTCAACTTTTGATCCTTTATTTCTTATATTATGGGTATTTTTACACAACTATTTTGCATTTAAGAACTTTTGCTCATGTTTTTCATAGGTTGACTTTGGAATATTTTTTCGTAACTGTTGCAGCCTGAATCATGTTCTTATGCCAAGCCCATCATCCTAAGAATTAGCAATCAACACACCTTGAAAAACTCCAATACGATAAACAGCCGCATTAACTACGAAGTATTAATCAGAGAAACAAAAACGAACTAAAGAAAAGTAAGCTACGAATAGGACACCATATACTCATACGATTATGCAAAAACAAGAAACAAAAGCGCAATGGTTAATCTTTCAAGTTTGTAAAATGGACCAAGGCCGCATCCATCAAGAAACAGAATCAGACCCCTTATAAGCCTAAGTGATATTTCATCCTAAAACCGATTGGCTGTGGGAATGGATTGACTAATCGCGCTAAGAAGTTGGTAATCTCCCATCTTCTCCAATGTCGGCAAACTCACAGTACAACGAATCGAACAAAATGTGGACAAATTGTTATGAGGAAGCAAAACAACACTCCTCAAAATTCAAAATCATTAATCCAGGGCAAGAGGTGCGGCCGCCCTGTACCCAGAAAGTAAAGGCCCAATTTTACAGGTTATTAACAACAATCAGCAACACGTTAGCAATTAAATTTGACTCAATCATCAAATTAGGTTCCAAAAATCACAATTAAAAATTTCTATCCATAAGATCAACCTAAATTGCTAAAAGCGAGATTCTAGCAACAAAATCAATCGTTATAACCTTGCATAACTTCAGTAATTATAACCAACAGTCGAATAGTTCAATAATGAAACTAACAAGAACCCTAAATTGACTATACTGATTTATAAATAAACAATAAACATAGATTGTGAAATAGATATATAATGATTATAAATAAATAAAATCTTACCTCAGAAGCTGCTTCAATGGAGGAGAGAAAGCTCAGAGTACGCGCTTCAATGGAGAAGAGAGTGCAGCTTAAAAGTGATAGCTCCCATTATACAGTACATTATACATTTCTACTCGGTATTTCCTTTTTTTTTTTTTTTTTTTTTTTTTTGAGGAACTACTCTGTATTTCCTGGTATGTTTTTAGTATTTTTTTTTTTTTTTTTGGAAAAAAATTCAATTTCAAAAATAAATCTTTTTACATATATTTATAAGGTAATAATTACATACAAAGTATAATCGAAGATTTAATGTATCTTTCCAAAATAAATATATTGACAACTATAAACACAAGCAAAAAAATATGTTTATTACAACACGATTATATAATTTTTTTTGATTTTTTTTAATTATGTAATAGAAGTTACGAGCTTAAACAATGAAATGTGAATATCAAATCAACAAATGATACTTTTGTTATTTTCTTGAATAATTTATGATTAGAATTTCAATCAATTAGCACTCCATGAAAACTTCAATAATACTTGCTAAAGATGACACATGTCGCTGATTAGTAGTGTGATTTTTTCTTGTCATTTTTGTTGTTTTTTAGAATTCAATTGATATGAATGTATGTAACATACGAAAGTATATAATGTTAATTTTAAATATAGTTATTGAAAATTATCGTGCATGGCACGGGACCTAACCTAGTAAAGTACTAATTGGTTGTTGTCGTAGTAGTGATTAGGACTGCACTGGACTCATGTTCGATATCCCGCAATAACAATTGGGATGGGACTTAAAGTTAGCCACCCATATCCTCGAATCCAAATTAGCCCAAATGTTGAACTGAAAAAAAAAAATACATGAAGTAAGGCAAATCCTTATATACTATTTCCGTTTTTTAGTTGACACATTTTGATTTTATCATTATTTACACACTTCCTTTTGACCTTGTTTTGTAATTTATGTGTAATGAAAAATAGTCACGTGAGATATTGTTAAATTCCTCACGATATGATCAAAATATCAACTTTTTAGAAATTTTATTTCTCGGTAATTAAAGATAGGAATAATTGAAATTAATAATCCTACATTTCACCCATCTTAAAATAGTCCCACTTTGAAGTTAACTTATAATAATCCTAACTTTTAAACCCATATTCTTTTAATGGTCCTTCATCAGTTTTCACTTATAGTAGCAGGTTTCCTAACCTACGTGGCAGTCACCTATCCATGTGGCATTGACTGTTCATTAATTTTTAATATAACCTTGAAGGTCTTATCCATATATTTGCCCAACTAAAACGGTGAAGGGCGTAGAAATTCGTATGGGTCAGGGTTTATTCCCTAATTTTTGACAAGTTCCTAATTTATAATTTAGGGTTCATACTCTAATTAATACATCACCAAGCACAACAATCAATTCAAAATGGACGAAACCCAATCACAATTATATAAGGGTTTAGATATGTTACCTGCAATTAGTACTAAGCAAGTCGAAATTGAGAAAAATCAATCTATTGCAATTCCCAATTCACAATTATTGTTGTTCGTACATTACACCAAGTCCACGAATTTCCTCCTTTTCTTGCAACAATTTAGTTCACAATATTCAACTGAGCATTGAAGAAACCAGAAAATTAAAAAAAAAAAAAAAAATACAGAGGAAGAGTAGGAAGAGTAATCATTAATGGCGCTGGCAAAGGAGTAGCAGTTGGAGAAGATTAAACAAAGTCTTGATTTAGGAGGGAAATTAAGTCAGTAAAGGAATTAAGTCTTGATTACCCGGTTACCGGTCATAAGGTTTGTTAAAAGTTAGCATTATTATAAGTTAACTTAAAAGTGGGACTATTATAAGAAGATGAGTAAAAAGTAGGATTATTAATTTCAACTATTCCTTAAAGAAATGAATGGTTGAATTAGTGCATTGGCAAACGCAACGAAAAATATGTGTCAACTAAAAAAGAAACGGATGAAGTATTATTGATTTTATCCTTAATCCACTTATTTCGTATAATGTATTAGATTTATCATACGTAGTATTAGTTTTCCAATCTTATATTTATTAGAAATTACACATTAATAAGCCATCACACTCATTATAAAATAAGGGCATGTTCTCTTACGTTGAAATTCAGTTTAGTTCAGTTCAGTTCTGCTCAGTTCAGTTCAGTTCAATTCAGTTTAGCTCAATTCAGTTCAGTTCAGTTCAGTTCAGCTCAGCTCCTAATTTCCTTCTCTTATAAAATATTCAGTTCAGTTCAGTTCAACTCAGTTCAGTTCAGTTCAATTTTGTTCAGTTCAGCTCAATTCAGTTCAGTTCAGTTCAGTTCAGCTAAGTTCAGTCAATGAAAACAGGCCCTAAATAACGTCACCTTATTAGGGATTAAATTTACTATAATAATTGTTAAAGTTAACCTACAAAGATCATCTTACAATACAATCAATGTAATGTTGCCTTATATAAGATTTATGGTTAGGAATATAGGAAATATACTATTGTGATATATTTTCCACATACATCTTATAATACGTATTGGGGCTAACTTGGGTTCCGCTCAAGGACCTAAGCTAATGGTTTAGGTAAGTATCTAATGTGTTCTTCTACTGGAGAAGTTATTTTTGGGGGAGAAACTATGCGGTTTTGGGATTTGCGCGCTCCCTGATTAGAACCCATAAGAAGTCCAAATGGTTTGGACTTGAGTCGGTCGAAAAAAGACATACAACCTTGGCAAGAACGCCGTTCAGCATAATTTATGACTCATGCTCCTTTAGGTTCTTTAAATTCCGTGGGTGGTGTGGCTACCGAGATCAATGCAATCAATATGTCTCTCCTAGAAGTTGGTTTGCTACTTCATTCTCATTTTGTTTTAGGATTTTTCCTATTCGTAGGTTGTCATTTGTGGCATGCGGGAAGGGCTCGGAATATAAGAAATTTTTGTTAGCGCTCACAAGGTCTAAACTAGCTCTGATAACATGTAAAATATTTATGAGACACTACCTTGAATTATATTGATGATCTTAACCTATATTTATAGCCTACGAAAGATAAGCTAAAAATTTTACATAAACTTTTTAAATCCTAAACAATATCAGATTACCATAAATCTATCTTAGAATATCATTAACATATATTAATTCTAAGAGAAAAGGGCATAGGAGGAAGCAGAGGTGGCGAAAGATTGGAGAACATGTAGCGAATCTCACAAGGAATTCTCATAGTTTAGAGTGTTTGAAGCCATGCATTTGATAGATAGACTTGGGCGACAGTGAGTTTTACAACGATGTAGTGGATTTTGAACGACGTAAGTGTAATTGTGGGAGAGAGGGTGGCGATTATGACTCCCCAACAAATATTGTCGACCAAGGCTGAATGGAGAAAGTGTGGCGGTGTTTATGAAGGAGGCCTAAGAGAGAAAATAGGTGGCAGTAGTGTGGTGTGGTGGTTGTGAGAGAAAAAGTAGAGGAAGATAAATAGAGAAATGGTGGCTAAGGGCCTGTTCTCTTCCGTTGAAATTCAGTTCAGTTCAGTTCAGTTCAGTTAAATTCAGTTCAGTTCAGTTAAATTCAGTTCAGTTCAGTTAAATTCAGTTCAGTTCAGTTCAATTCAGTTCAGCTCTTAATTAATGTCTAATGATATTGCTAATGATATAAAGTCAAATTTCATTCTTTTAACCTCTTATTACAACGACGACGACAATAACAACAACAACAATAATAATAATAATAATACTAATAATAATAATCAATAAATAATAATAATAATCATAATAATCAATAAATAATAATAATAATAATTAATATCAATAATTAATAATAACAATAATCCGTAGTTAAAAATCACTAATTAATAAGTTCAGTTCAGTTCAGCTGAGTTCAGTCAATCGGAACAGGCCCTAAGAGAGAGGAGAGAAAAAAAAAAAAGGTGGTGTTGGTGGTGGATATGGGGTCTCGGAATTGAATTAAGAGAGAATATGTGGGTTAGGGGTTTGGGATGAATTAAGTTAGGTTACTTTGATTTACTATACTAATTGAATCTAAGTAAGGGTATGTTAGTAATATTAAATTTATAAAAGTGAAAATAAGGTTAAACAAATAGCTCGTACATAATACATATATATACATACATACATATATATATACATATACACATGTTGGATGTCCCTATGCTATTACACTTTTTAATTTTCTTTTTTTCAACCCAATGCCATGCCACAGGTCTTTTTACATTACACTGTTCTCCATCTCCTCAAAGTAAAAAAATATTGTAAATTCTTACTAATTTATCACTAAATAGAATTTGAAATTAATTAATGCATTGCCGGCAAAACCATACATATTAGATAATTAAATACACTACATGCACCTAAGTATCTTGCCCTGCATGTACATTGTACGGGTCAAAAGCCTAATTATCCTTAATAAGAAAACATCAACAATGGTACGGTGGTTATAAAGGAAAGTAAATAAGGACAAGACACTTTCATAAAAAAATCAATATATACATATATACTGGAGTAATCCTTATAATTATCCCCTAAATACACGTGCCATCACCTAATTACAAAAATTTATGCCAAAAAAAATTGTTACCCTTTTTATTTTGGTTTATTTTTATTTTTTTTATTTATTGAAAGAAGTTTGTTACTATCCCTCCGTCCCTAATTTTTTGTCCCATTGCTAATATTTAGTTCAAACTTTTTTAAAAAAACTTTTAAAACTTTGACCATTAATTGTCATTGATCTATAATAATTAATGTAGTCATGTGTAACCTTATTGCGTTCATCTCATTGTGTATTTTATTTATATCAATTTTTTAAAAAATTTCGTGAATGGAATAAGAGATATATGCATTATTGTAATATAAGGTGTGTCTTGGAGACCGTGAAAAGTCAAATGCGGCAAAAATAAAGGGACAAATGGAGTGTATCTCATGGAAAAGTTTTGGCCTTATTATATTTAGGGAATGATGCCCAACAATAATTATTTAAATAAATTTTAAAAATATAGTGATAAAGAATAAACAAATTTTTTAAGTAATATTATAAAATACTATTTAGGAATTTTCAAAATAAAATAAAATAAAATACTATTTAGAATATTATCCAAAAAAGTATTTTTTTTTTAAATTTGGAATAAAAAAAACATAACATGAATAGTGAGTACTTTTTAATTAAGAAAAGAATTTGCTTTCATACTTATATTTTATTAATCCTTCCCTCTCATTAGTTGTAGTGTAATTTAAACATTGAAATTAATCTTATGGTATATCACAATGTTTATTGTATTTTTTTAAAAAAATAAATTTTAATGATTCATTTTGTACAATTTCTAATAAACAAATAAAAAATATTATTGTAAAATGTGCGTAGCACGGGTTTTGAACTAGTAACTTAATACTAAAACAGGCATCTGGGGTAACACGTGTCACATTTTAGTGCTGTTTTTTCCTTCCAAAATTTCCCTTTCCTTTTTAGTCAAATTATATATTTAGTCAAAAAAAATAAAATTTATTGACTTGTTATTGTAAAATTGTGCGTAGTATTTGTTTGTTTTTTGTTATTGAAAGAAGTTTGTTACTCTCCCTCTGTCCCTAATTTTTTGCCCTATAATAAATATTTAGTTCAAACTTTAAAAACTTTGACCATTAATTGTCATTGATCTATAATAGTTAAATGTAGTCATGTGTGATCTTATTGCATTCATCTCATTGTGTATTTTATTGATATCAATTTTTTTTTTTTAATTTTTTTACGTGAATAGAATAAGATATATATGCATTGTAAGGTGCGTCTTGGAGACCGTAAAAAGTCAAATGGGGCAAAAATAAAGGGACAGATGGAGTATATCTCATATATAGAAAAGTTTTGGCCTTATTTTTAGGGAATGAAGCCCAAATTGTAATTTTTATTTAATGTTTTATTTATTTATTTATTTTTACTTCTAATGATTCATTTTGTACAATTTCTAATAAACAAATAAAATAATATTATTGTAAAATTGTGCGTAGCACGGGTTTTGAACTCTCAACAATAAATTAAAACAGACATCGGGAGTGACACGTGTCACATATTGGTGCTATTTTTTCCCTCAAAAATTCCCCCTTCCTTTTTAGTCAAAATCTTTATTTTTTTTTGGAATATTTATACAATACCACTATAATAATATTATTCCATATCTTTTGTATTTTCCTTATAATAAATGTATATCTTTTTAGTTGGTAACCTTAATTCTTCCATACACATTTACTTAAAATAAAATATTATTCCAATTATTTTTAATCATCTTTCAGCGGAGTATTAGACCATGTTCATTTCACATTAAAAAAATAATATTAAGTAAAAATAATTTCAGTTCAGTAAATTTAATGTTAATTTAGCAATAATAAGTTCAGTTTAGCAAAAATAATTTAAGTTTAGTAAAAATGATTTTAGTTTAGTAAAAATCAGTAAAATTAAAGAGAAATATAATAGAAATCAGTAGAAATAATTTCAGTTTAGCAAAAATAGTTTCAGTTCAGTAAAATTAATTTCAATCTAGAAAAAATAATTTAAGTTCAACAACAGTAATTTTAGTTCAGTAAAAATATTTTAGTTGAGCAAAAATAAGGTGAAGTGAACGGGGCCTTATAAGATTTTGCCAAAAAAATTTAATAAAATTGATTGTTATTATTAAACTTTAAGGGTAGTGGTTAGAATCGATCTCAAAATCTCCTGAAATCAGGATGAAGCTCTAACCACTTGAGCTATCTCTCATTCTGTACATTCAAATTAATTAGTAGTACAATTTTTACTTTGCCTTTTAATTTAGATTATATATTATTACAATTTTACTTTGCCTTTGAATATAAGGACAATATAATTTCTATATATTTGATGTGTATGTTTTATCAAATAATTTATTTGTTAAATATAATTTTTTTTTTTAAAAAAAATAAGATTAACCTTGCATGGCACGGGGCCTAAGCTTGGACATAGATAAAGACAAGACAATATATAAATTTATAAAAAAAGCCAAAATTATTTTGGAATTGTAAAGGCAGACATGGGATATTTATGCAAGTTAAGTACCTATGTTAAACATTAGTTGTAAATTTGGAATATTTTATATCTTATGAATAATATTCCAAAGTTGCAACTAATATTTAGTGGACATAGTATTAAAATCTCTAGTTGCAAAATTTATTAATTATAAAAGTACAAATAAATATGAGATGAGTGAGTCTTGTTGGTAGTTGAAGCTGTTTTAATTGCACAAATATGTCATTTTTTTATACCTTAAGAAATGCATGATGACAACAAGGATGTTTGTTATTAGTCACAAACGTCATAATCTGTAAATTTTCTTTTGGTCAATTTTACGTGGGCACAAGATTCATTATTTGGCATTTATCTTCAAACTTCTCCTTTTGTGGGAAAATTGTTTGCTTGTTCCTTTCAATTTAAGGAAATTCGACCTACACGTCCACCTAGCTTGCTTAGCTAGTAAAAGGTGTATGTCATACTCAAAATGCTACGAGTAATAAGAAGTTATAAATCTCTTTTTGAATTTAACACTTTAAAGCTAGATCTCATTTTGATTTTAACCCTTTAACAATTAAAGGAAAATTATTATTTATTTAAGGCAATTTTTATGTTTTTTGACAACATATTTGAGGCAATTTACAATAAGTAATTGATTGTAGGATGTAGAAAAACGTATGCCACAAATTGTCCTAATTGTGTGAATGGATATTTTGGTCTTAAATGGGGAAGGACTAAAGATGATTTTTTTTGGGTGAAAAAGGACTAAAGATGATCGTATAATGTACTTATGCTTTGATCACAACACTTCGCAAGTGGGTAAAGAATAATGAATATTGAACAATATTTTTTGACTTTAAGAAAATATACTTAATTGATTCTCAATATCATTAGCTACTTATTATTGGATCTTTAATTCTTATTATTCATTTCTTTAGAGTTTGAGTCAATTAATCAAATGTCTTTGAACAACATATGATATACTTAGTACAAAATGCCTTATAACAACAATTATCATATGTAGAATCCGAGAATACATTTATTATATAAATAATAATCACATAAATAGTAGTATTGTAAAACTTGCATTAGTAGCTTCCGCTTTGGTATATTATAACACGCAACTTAATACTAGTAGAGAAAGTAAACTTATACTTAATCATCATATCATAAACTTAAAGGCATAGATAATGGTTTAGTAGGGCAAGATCAAATTAAAAACATAGCTAAATCTCCAAGATTAAGCTTAATAAAGTGAGTTGGCATTTAACAAGGTGAAATCCCAAATATACCCCTTGAAAAACCATTTCATTTCTTCTCTTCTTCCACCTCAAAAGCAGAAATTGGGTAAGTGCGGGAAATACCGGTAGGGGTACCAAAGGTAATTTTACCAGAATTAGGATCATCAATATAAATTTCATTAAGAGTGATCCAAATTAAGAGCTCCTTAGCTTTAACTCCATGAAGTTTCTTCATCCGACGATTCTCAACAAAGGCCGTAACATGAGTATCATATGATACTTGTTTACCGATCTTTTCGAACCGGTGTTGGATCGGTTTTTTTTGGGTTAGCCACACGAACCCGGTCGTACGATTATACCCGACTTCCTCAATATCATCCATGGGTAGTAGACCATTAGGCATGTTGATTTCGAGTAAAAGCTCTTTTGATTTTTGCTTGCATAGGTCTGAACCGGTGTATATTTCCGCGTTTTCGCGGTGTTTTTCTATGAACTGAGCCGACATTTTTGGAAGTTTGTAAAAATATGTTAAAGTTAGGACAGTCTTCTCGCAAGGCTAAAAATAATATAATTGGAAGGTATGGGGTTATAAGGAATGATGGGGTTTAAAAGGGTTTATATAGAGTCTAAAGGAGTTTAAGTATGAAGAAAAAATTAAATTTTTTATGGGTAAAGAATTAAATTTTTGATGGGTATAGTTGGTTGGTGACTTGGTGTATATGTAAAGAGGTAGTGTTGCATTTATTAGTTGTTTAAAGGTGTTAGTTTGGAGGATGGAATAGGATTCTTGAGGATGTGGAATTTAGATGGGGTATGAACGTGTGATTGCCCTCCCACATGGAAAGTTGTTGGGAATTGCTTGATTTACTAACTTGTTTTTAATTGATGGATGTATGAATTATGATTTATGAATGAATATCATGCATTATAGAGGGTGGGCAACGAATTGCTCGAGATCAAGGTTGGTTTGTGTCAATTCGGTTTGGATCATAATTGTGTGATTAATACATACTTTAACTGGTTAATGTCAATTCAGATCATAATAAAATGATAAATGTTTTGATGTGAAGATAACCAAGTAAATTTCTTAAATCGGGTGATAGAAGTTGAATTACGATGCACGTGTCGATCTTACATTTTGAGTAGATTATTAAGTAGGTTACTTAATGATAAAAAATTCTATCAATTTTTGTTGTGTTCATTTTCAGTACTTAAGTTGTCTTACGACCTTAGGTTTAGGGGCGTAAATGAGCCGAGTCGAGCCGAGTATTAGCTTGTTCATATTCAAGTTCATTTAAGTTAGGCGAGTTCGAGCCCAATCCCGAGTTTTTAAGCAAGCTCAAATTTCTGTTCAAGCTAGGTTCGTTTAGTACACTATATCTTCATGAACGGTTCGTGAACAACTCGTTTATTTAACGAGCATTTCATGAACGAACTTAATAATAATAATCGAACTTCTCCAATAAATGAGCTTTGTACTTTTGATATTTGAAAATTCAAAATTACCATAATAATTGAATCTTAATTATAAATTTAATAACTAAATTAACAATAGTAAATAAATCAATAATTCATGAACATAAATAAATGAGTAGTTCATGAACATAACTAAACGAGTGGTTCATGAACTTATCTGAACGAGCATATCTATATATGTTTGTGTTCAAGCTCCTTTATTAAACGAGTTTCAAAACTTTTTCAAGCTCGGCTCATTTATTAAATAAACGTACATGAACGAGCTTCAACCGAACATGAGTAGTTTATTGATGGACTTGGTCCATTTACACCCCTACTTAGGGCCTGTTCACATTTACTTAATTTCAGTTCAGTTCAGCTCTAATCACTTCAGTTCAGTTCAACTCTTAATTTCCCTCTCTCATAAAATATTCAGTTCAGTTCAGTTCAGTTCAGTTCAGCTCTAATCAGTTCAGTTCAGTTCAGTTCAATTCAGTATATGTGAACAGGCCCTTAGGTTGATTTGTAAGATGACAAAATAGAGTTTATAATTTAAGTCTGAATTGAATTATATGAATTGGGTAATGACTAATGAATGCGGGTTTATTGGAGTTGGGCCATAGTTGAGTATGTTTTTTGTTTATTTTCATGTCAAGTAGAGTAGGGTAGTTCATTTTGAATCAAACTATCAAAGTTGGGCTAATCTGTTTAAGCTCAAAAGAACAAAGCATTAAACTAGGACCAACAATTTATTTATCCTCTTAGATTGTAGATTATTGATCAGTCAATCAACAATATACATATATAACAAGACGAAAACATTTATTTACATACAAACCATAACAAAATCTGTCATTGTTTAGTACAGCCTTTATTTAAAGCCACCACAGATTAGCTACAACAGTTGATAAGCTTGATGAAAGGACTACAAAATCAAGCACTACTGAGGATTTGGAGGCCGACTGTTGGCAGAGGCAACGCGAGATCCCCATTCCAACAGTTCTTTGCTGGTATCGTCTTTGTGCACAAGGATTTCGATAAAACAAAGAGAGTCTTTATATTCACCCGTGGCAGCTGCTATTGCATCAATCAGTTGTTCCTCTGTTTGGACCTGCATTCACAACAACAAATTAAAATTAACACTTGACAAGATGAAGAATTTCTTAAATCATTTGCTAAGCCACATTTTTGTTATCAGCCGTTTGATAATTGAGAAATTATGCACCAAATATTGATCGATTGCTTTTAAAACTACACATGATTCTACATCTCTTTAAGTGGCCAAAAAACTGAATTGATCTTACGCATTAAGGTCTCAGTTGAGCTAATGAACACGAGTGAAAACATGCATCTACCATATAAGTCTAAGAAAATATAACTAGAATGAGTTGCAGAATTCAAATAAGTCTATATAAGTGGTAAATTACCTTTGCAGTCCAACAATTTCCTTGACCGTTATGGATAGCCTTAATAAATCCTGTATAGTTCCAGTTCTTAATCACATTGTAGGGGCCATCATGAATCTCGACTTCAATTGTATATCCGCCATTGTTGATGAGAAATATTATCGTCTTTTGTCCACACCGAATCATTGTTGAAACATCTTGAGCAGTGACCTAATAAGATAAAAAGAAACTGTCAGTTTTCCACTTTGTATCGTATTTCACCAAACATAATAACTGTAAATTGTTAGGATGGCAGACTGAATAGCAGCCTCAATACGCTGAACTGAGCATGAGATTCAAAAAGAAGTTACATTTGCAAAAGTTGTAAGTTTTCATTAACAGCTGACCTGAAAACTCCCATCACCTATGAAAGCAACAACTCGCTTGTCTTTGGCAGCTTGAGCATATCCCAATGTAGCACCAACAGACCAACCGATAGACCCATATTGCATCTGAAATTCAAACCTGTATATATTGAACACACATCCACAGTTTCAGGCATGAGTAATACATGATCAGACTTTAGGGCCCCGTTTGGTTTAATGTAAAACATTTTCAATGGAAAATTTGTTTTCATGGAAAACATATTTTCAAGGAAAAACACAATTGCAAATTAGTTTTCCTTTGTTTGGTTGCATACAAGAAAAGTCCAAGAAAAATAAAAAATAAGAGTGGAAATGTAAGGATGAATGAGAGGGAAGTAAAAAAGAGGTAAGGAGGAGAGAGGAAAATGTGGCTTCCCTTATTTTTGGAAGGAAAATGTTTTCCATCATTAAGGATGAAATTTTCCACCCTTGAAAAATTGTTTTCCACTCCTTAACAAACCAAACAAAGGAAAATGGGAAAAAATGGAAAATTCATTTTCCATGAAAACATTTTACATCAAACCAAACAGGGCCTAGAAGTCATTAAACACTTTCGATAAAAAGGAAAGAACCTTGAAGGGAAAAGGTTCATTAATAAGGTCTACCATATCACCAACAGCCAACATTCATAACCACAAAATGCTTGTATATGCTTTCATGTAGTACTTTCTAGCCCAAACCCATTGGCCGGAAATAAATCATCATGAATGACTTGTACTGTTGTACACCATGGTATGTACTTACGTATGTCACAATGGGATCCAATTCATTTTTGTACACATGAAATGCATAAAAGTTGCAGAAATAGTTTCAATAAAGACTTACAGATTGTTTGTATAAAGAAAAGGGAAGGAAAAGAAGGGGAGGGAGGAGAAGAGGAGGGGAGGGAAGAGGAGGGGAGAGAAAAAGGATGAGTTTTCCTTCCAAATCTCTCCATTGTTAGAGGGATCATTTTCATACAATTTAATCCCTCCATTTTTCTCCCCTTCAATTCCCTTACTTCCTCATTTGTTATCCAAATGAAAGATATCATATCTCTCCATTTCCCTCCCCTTCTTTTCCTTCCATTTCCTTCTATCCAAACACACTGTTAATGTATTCCAGTTGCTTCGACTTACCCACATCCTTCTGGAAGCCGGAGCTTTTGACAATTGAACCATGAGTCTCCTGTTTCCGCAATCAGTGCAGTATTCCCATCAATCATAGCCTGTTTTCATACCCATTCCAATGTCAAATAACAATTGAATGAAATTGAACTTATAGACTTATTGTCCATCAAGAATATAGAAAAGCATGCAAAAAAGAATTGAACTTATAGTCCATTAAAGGCAATGAATGTTGTGTGCATAAATTGAAAAACACCATGAATGCAATAATTGTTGTGTGAATAAATTAAAGAATATGGCTTGCCTGTATATGCTTGAAGAGAACATTGACTTTGAGAGGTTCATCCTTCCCACACTTTAGAGGCATGCCTGGAGGGGTATATATCCGTCGATAATTTTCTATTGCTGTGGTGTTTCTCTTAAGTTTTTTTGCCAATGCACTTAAGAAGTCATCCATGAAAACCCATCCATATGAGGGACCATTAGCAATAGTCACGCGGTTAGGCTGCACTAAGATCATTTTTTCTTTCTTGATCAGCAGGGAATACCCAACTGAACTATAATCATTAAAAATAGGACCCACGAAAACATAAGCATCAGCTGATTCGACCACTTCACCAACATAGTTAGTACTGACAGCACCCCAGTATGTGCCGATAAAGTGGGGATGGTGTTCAGGCACCAGCCCTTTACCTGATGGCATGACTGCTATAGGGTAACCACATGCATCTGCAAGTTCTACAAATGCCTTTTGCGCCTTTGCCACCCTAAGTTTGGGTCCGCCAATGATGACAGGTTTCACGGCCTTGTTTAGAAACTCGGCTGTTGCTTCCACAGCAGCTTCCAAGCCTAACTGATTGCTCTTACTGCATTGCAAACTCAGTGTCATAAACCAGAAGCAGAACATAGAATTTACGTGTTCTAGTTTTATCTAATATATACAAGTAATAAAATAATTATTAAAAATTTAAAATGCATACTGTGGTGCAAGGAAGTATGGAACAGGATCCCTAGCAAAAGTCGGATGAGGAATTCCAGGCAGATTACAGCCTATGCTAATGTAAACTGGCTTGCTTTCCTTTAAAGCAGTTGAAATTGCGGTGTCTATCAGCTCATGTGCATCATCCAAGTTGTTCACCACCGCCTATTGTGTTTATATGATCAACACATTATACATCAAACATGAGCAACAGAGCACTCCCAAACCAAAAAATGCAGCAAGTAGGTAACATGTTGATCCCTTGTCCAATAATTTCGTAAAAAAATGCATATTGTGTGACTTTGAGTTGGTTAAACTTACCCAAACATTTTTCAAGTACCTTAACAACAAAATACTCTATGTATTCATAGGTACTAATTATATGTCATTGTGGTATAATATCTTATGTACCATTAACACAGTGGTACCCAATAAAATGTCATTATAATCCTAAAAATAGCTTTAATGACCGTTAGAGTACTGAGTACATGTCTAATTAGTACTACATGTATATCTCACAATGATATACGAAGCAATAATTAATGCACCATTTACTTATTTATTTATATAATTAGAAAAATATACTCTTTCGTTTTCTTGAGAAAATAAAAATATAATTAGTTGATGTAGTCATGTCGGATGTAGCTACGCAAACCAAGAAAATGTGAAAATAAAAACCATACATGTGAGTATTTTTTCTTTAAAATGAGATTGAGAGATAGAGAATGAGGGATTAACAAAATAACGACTAGTAATTTTCAATTTTTATAATTGGTAAAGAGGGCCTTGACAATTTTCAGTCCAATATTTACCGACTAAGCACTTGGGGGTAGAGGGGAGGGTAAGGGAATCCCTACACCCAAGCACTCTCACTAGGTAAGATTCAAACCCCAATCCTTTAAGATCTGAGGTAAGAAACTTGCCAAGTGAGCCAACACTTTGTTGGTTGCGCCCCTAGTAAAAGTGATGAGAAGTTAGAAAATGGAAACCAATTACTGGTATTTTATGCATACAGCATACATAATATCAACAATCTTACTATACTTTCTGTTTCAAAACATATAGCACCCATTTCTTTGGACTTCTCCTAAATTCTTTATCATACCATTTTTAGAAATACTGCATATATTTATTTGACGCTTTCATAATTACTACTAGAAAAAATGAAGTCATGAAAAAGGTAATAAAATGAAGGGAATATATACCTGAAAACAAGTGACAGTCTGAAAGCAACGCAATTCCTGAGTAAAATCAGGCAACCCAATAGTATGATGCAAAATCCTATTAGTCCCATAATCATTAGAATTGGGTCCACCAACAATACAAATGACAGGTAAATTCTCACTATTAGCTCCAGCAATAGCATTAAGCACACTAAGCCCGCCAACAGTGAACGTGACAACACACGCGCCAACACCTTTCGCTCGCGCATACCCATCAGCAGCATACCCTGCGTTCAGCTCATTGCAGCAACCGATCAAGTTCAGCTCCGGCTCATCAACTAGATGATCTAATAAGGTTAAGTTGAAATCGCCGGGAACCGAGAAGACGTCTCTTACGCCTATTTGAACTAGCCGGCGACCGAGGTGCCGGCCTAGTGTACCTGCACCAGGTTGGAGGGGTTTGATTGGTAAGGCTCCGTTATTCATTGATTAAAATAAGTTTAAGGGAATGAAGGGAATGGTGTTTTAGAGTTTGGAAGAGTGGAAGGTTATATAATTAGGCACTTGGAGAATAATCAGTGGGCTAAATTGGGGGTATTTGATTAATTAATAATGAAAAGAAGGGGATAAAGTGGGTTCGGTTTGGTTTTATGTAGGCGGCGGAAACAGGAAACTAGACTCTGTTTTTGGGAATAAAGAAAAAGGGAAATGATGGAAAAACAGGGGAAATTGTGGATTCCTAGGAATCAAGGATTTGACAAGTTTGGGTGTTGTTGAAATTAAAAACGGTCCACCGTTTGTAGTTCTGAAATATACGGTGATCAATTTTGATTTTTCTGTCTTTTTCTTGGGGAAGTAGATTCTTTCTTAAAATAATACTACCTTTGCTTTGCATTACTCGAGTATTATTTATGAGATATAAATATTCATTTGTTGCGAGTAATGTGAAGTAGAGGTAGTATTATTTACAACAATTTGACATAAAATATAAATACTATCTCCGTTTTTAAATACTTGCTCCATTTCTCCATGTGCGGAGTTTTAGGAGAAATTGAAGAAAGTAATAAAATATGGAGCTAGTGAGGTTGGTGAAAGAATAAAAACTTGTAAAAAGCCAAAAGTAGTGGGGAGAATTGAGGATGATTTACAAAAATATAGCTTTTAAAAAACTTATTTACGGTTTTGCATTGGAATGAAACTTATTTACGAAAATATAGTCCATGTAGGCTTGGAGATACATTTGGGGGTAATTTTTTCTTTAGAGACAAACCGCTACCTTAAGTAGCGGTTATAGTCTAAAACCGCTACTTGAGGTAGCGGTTTGTCATTAGTACTCTAAGTAAAATACATTTAATCAATTTATGAAGGGTAAAACCGCTACTTGAAGTAGCGGTTTTAGTACATAAACCGCTACTTGAGGTAGCGGTTTTACTTTGAAAAATAAAAAAATAAAATAAAAACTTATCCGAGCCTACGTGGACAGTAATTTCGTAATTAAGTTTTATTCCGACGCAAAAGTGTAAATAAATTTTAATATAACCATACTTTCGTAAATCATCCGAGAATTGAAGGAGAGAAAATATGAAATTTATAATGTTGGGTCCACTTGGTGAGAGAAATTAATTATATATTGTAAAAGCTTTATAAATAAGGAAATGGAGTAAGTATTTAAAAACGGCCGAAAAAGAAAAGTGGAGCAAGTATTTAAAAACGGAGGGAGTAATAAATATCTAATTATTACAAATGAAATGAAATGGGTTCCTAAAAAAAAAGGGTAATAATATAGTTTCTTTAGTAGACTTGTCAAGAATGAGTGTGTGTGGATTTTAATTCTTCTCTGGCTTTATGGCTTACAAGCTGTAAAGTTGTCAAAAATTGAAATTTATGTTTTTTATAAATGGAGAGTTGTTAAAATTAAACCCAATTTGTATAGAGAGCAACTATGATAAATTAAAGTAAAAAAATTTAAATTTCGTTAATATAAACAAAGTGATCCAATGTGATTTGTGAAAGCAAAGTGATTTAATATGATTTAAATATTATTACTATGCAAGTCTTGTTTCTTACTACGTAGTTAAAGATTATCTGGTACTCTCTCCGTCCCTAAATTACATTTCCCTTTGGAAATTTATACGGGAGTTAAGAAGAAAGAATAAGACAAATAACAATAATTAGATAATGCAATGAGAAATACAAAACATTAAATAATGTTTTTGAGTAAAACAAAGATAGATTAGTGATTACTCATGGAGGAAGTACTAGAGGAGGTCAGTTATGTATATAGAAATACATAACATGGCATTCTTGTAAATAAAATGCAACTTTTGTTGTAACGGGTATGGAATTTGGAGGGAAAATATAATTGTACAGTAAAAAATGTAACGGGGTGGGGACACTTGGTGGAATAAACAAATATTGCAAGCCCCACCAAAACTTGTCATTATCCTCACAGAAATTCTCGTCTTACTCGTCGTCCCCAATTTCGCAACAAGAGGCAAGGTTCCTCAATTTCGGGGAACCTGCCATAATTTCCGGTGGACGAAGTTCTTCATATAATTTAATGAATTGGAAGAGGTAGCATTTGTCTTATGGAGTATCTGGAAACAACTGAGGACCTTGAAAAGTACGAAGGTGGTGAGTTTGGAGTTAGGGTTGGTGATGAAGTCGTCGAATATGCCGCAGTTGTTGATGATCAGGACGATGATTTTTGCGCTGCAGCGTTAGACGCCTTGTTAAATCAGGTATTCGAGATAATTGTTTGAAAAAAGGGTTTTGCAATTGGTAGGGTGTAAGCAGTAACGGTTTAAATTTCAATTTTTGCCTTGTAGTTGATTGAAATTATGTGAATTGGTTTAGTTGATTGAAATTATGTGAAATGGGTGTAAGGATTGTAGGTTTAAAATGTAATTTTTGCCTTTTAGTTGACTGAAATTCTGTAAAATGGGTAATGGGTTTAAGGAATAAATGTTTAAATTTGAATTTTTGCCATTTTGATCGAAATTATGTAAATTAGCTGCTCTTGAATTATTACTCATTTTCAGATATCTATATAAATATAATTCAAGTGTTGGTGTATTTCTATGTGTTATTGGACAGTGTTGTATATAATATCCAGCTTATTGAGATGTGTCTAAGTGTCTAACCCACTACCCTGAATTATTCACCTTAGCATATAAAGTGTTGCTGTTAAATTTGTTTCTGTAGTATAGCGGTAAATCAGCTCAAAAATTGGTTAATTGGGCAAAGTTTAGTGATTTGATAAGGGGTGTGAATTGTGTGGTGTAGGTTGTTGTTGGGGAGGAGTCTTATAGGACTCCAAAGAAAGGTAAGAGCAATGTGTTACTTAGTGTCGAAATTGAAGAGCCTGTGGAATTGGAGGTGGATGTACCTCTGCCGCCTCCTTCTGTTGGAATGTTGTTTGGTTCAATGCTAGAGGTTGATGAGTACTTTCGTAATTATGGCCAGCAACAGGGGTTTGGTGTTGTAAGGACTAGTGGGGCTAAGTCTGGGAAAGGTGATAAGTGTAATTGTAGGTGGACTTGTGAATGCTATGGTAGGCCCGTGAGAAAGAGGAAAAAGCCTGAACCCAGGCTGGTTTCTGATGCTCATATCAGTGAAGATGAAGACATGTGTCCTAAACGCAAGTCGAAGAAATGTGATTGTACGGTGACTTTATATGCTAAGGTGAATAAGTCAGGGCAGTGGGTTATTGATAAGGTGCATCTGACACATGTTGGGCATAAGCCAACTCTTGGGAAATCAAAAAACATAAGTAGGTTTCGGAAGAAATTTTTGGTGGATAACCCTCACCTTGTGCGGCAGCTGTCTGTTGAACGGAAGGCTGGGGTTCCTGTGGCTAATATATATAGAAATATGGCAAGGCAGAGGAATGGGCTGGAGGATATGCCGTTTGAGCAGAAGGACTTACATGATGAAGTTGCAAAGCAGAGGAAAGTTGTGTTTGAACAAGGTGATGCAAAAGTTATGTTTGACTACTTTAAGAAGATGTCGGAGGACAATGATAAGTTCTTTCATACATATCGAATTGATGATGAAGGTCGCTTGAAAGATGTGCTATGGGTTGATGCTAGGAGTAGAGCGGCGTACGAGGAGTTTGGTGACGTTGTTGTGTTTGACTCTACCTATTTGACTAATGAATACAAGCTCCCTTTTTGTAACTTTGTGGGTGTCAACCACCATGGGCAGACCGTTCTGCTTGGTTGTGCTCTTGTTAGTCGTGAGACAACGGAGACTTTTGAATGGGTATTTTCAAGTTGGCTTAGATGCATGGGTGACAAAGCTCCTATTGGGATTCTAACGGACCAAGATCCGGCAATGCGGAAGGCTTTGAAGGCGGTTATGAAGGGTACGACGCATAGATGGTGTATATGGCACATTCTCAACAAGTTTGCTCAGAAGTTAGGCAAGCGCATCTACTATCCTGAGTTGAAGGACGGACTGCACCAAGCCGTATATAACAGCCTTGACTGTGAGGAATTCGAACAACGTTGGCCGGAGGTTATTAAGAAGTATGAAGCTGATGATGATGAGTGGCTGGCAGGTATGGTGTTAAACAGATCTTGTTTCCTTTTTTTCTTGCAGATTATTTATGTTGTTCTTTGTTGTCTGTTGTGTTTTGCTGCTGTGTTGTATTGATAGTTGCTGCTCACATCTATTCTGGTGATATATGTAGTAGTCTATAAGTGATTGATGTTGATCCTGTTCCTTGTTTTTTAATGAGTGGTTGTGTGGCTACCATGTTAGGCTTGTATGAAGAAAGGGCTATGTGGGTTCCAGCATATGTGAAACACTTGTTTTGGGCCGGGATGAAAACCACGCAGAGGGTCGAAAGTATTCATAGCTTTTTTGATGGCTATTTGAGCAAACACACGTTGTTACATGAATTTGTGGAGAGGTATGAAGAAGCGTTCTCGGTTAGAGCAAAAACAGAAAAGAAGACTGACGACAACAATGCCAGGTATGTGAGGAAGGCCTGCACCGATTTTCCTGCTGAGCTTTTCTTCCAGAAGATTTACACGGATGCCAAATTCAAAGAAGTTCAGCGTGAATGCACTCGTACGATGTATGTCAACGGGATTGACAGAAGACAGGTTTCTGATCATGTTGTTGAGCATGTTGTCGAGGATAGAGTTTGGTACAAGCCCCAAAACTCTAAGAAAGAGATACCCTCCAAGCGTAAGCGAAGGTACGTGGTTACTCTTGACATTGGTAGTAAGGATGCTTGGTGTGAGTGTAAGTATTTTGAATGTCATGGGATTATATGTCGTCACATAATTAAGGTGTATGAGTTGCATGATCATGTGGGTATTCCAGTCAAGTTCATCTTGAAGCGTTGGAGGAAAGATGTGATACGGCCGTATACCCGTGTGAAGGTTGGTTATCATGATCCGAGTAAGACAGAGGAGGTTTGTAGGTTTGACAAGATGATGGTGAAGTTTGGTTCTCTTTGCTCTAAGTCGTCCTTCTGTAAAGAAACAACAAAACTTGTTCTTGATACGCTTCAGTTACTTGAGATTCAAGTGGAGGAGATGGTTGACATGATTTAACAAAAAGGGTGACAAGAATGGTTCTTTGGAAAAAGAAAAAGGAACACCTGTTACTCCATCCACGCAGAGGCAAGGAAGTTGCTCTGAGATACCCAAAGATCCTCCTATTCCTAAAAAGCCGCCTCACCGCACAACAGATGTGAGATTCCCATCGTGTATTGAGAAAGCAAAGAAGGGTAACACTAATCGAAAGAGTTGTAGCCAAAAAAAGGCTCAACAACAACAATGTAGCACTCCCTCCAGCAACCAGGTTTTCATTATCCCATTTCATCGGCTAATTTAAAACATGTTTTAAGTTTAGCATACCTATTTCATCTATATATGTATTTTGTGGTGCAGGGTTATTTTTTCCCCTACAGCCCCCAATCTGTCGACGGGATACAGATGGTTGATGGTGATGGTTCTATTGGGTACTTCACTGGTGTTTCTGGAGGCTCTGAAAGTGATCTTCAGGCAATGTATAAGGCTGGTTTCATTCCTTATCAGTATACACAGTACAGGCCAATGTATCCATTTGGTGTTTTGGCAGCATCTCCCCATTCCCCTCACACTCCTCGTTCTACAGCATATTCCACAGCTGGTGGCAGGCCTATGTTCAGACCTATTGCTCCAAAGGCTCCGATGTCCACCCATGGTAATATACGCTACATAACTCCACCTCATGCATCGGTACACCCTACTACTCAGCAGCAGCAGTAGCTGGACAAGACTGCACCTTTCGTGTTTCAAGAAATTTTTGAGGACTAATTGGTGAACTAAATATTATACGCTCACCGTTTTTGGAAGCTTAACTGATGAACTAAAAACATAATTCCTGACTTTTAACTCTTTAGGACAGGTGATTTAACGGTGTTAACATGGTAAATTTTTTGTAAAGAATACATTTATTGTAAGTCTCTTAATATTTTGCAAGAGGTTACATGTCCTATTTGTTGGGGGATTTTTTGTAAAGATCAAGACACTGATCCTAAATATAGCCAATATATTTACTTTGATGTAGGTAAAGTAAAAAACCGTTTTAATTTCAAGTATTATTTGTTCTACATTATATTTGAGTTTCCTAATTTGTCACAAATAGATATATATATCTGACCATAGACTTGGAAATATAATGATATGGGGGACATGTACTTATACATTTAAGATTGCCGCTGGATTAGATTATGAATCAGTGCATCAGCATGTAATTTTAACAAAATTTCATTATGCATGCAAGTTTTAATGAATTATGACTTGCGCTGGACCTCAAAATGATTACACAGTGCTACTCGTGAGTTATCTAGTTGAAGCCATTATTGTAACAGTTACCCATAACACTTCTTGCTAAGTTACCATTAACAAGTCAATTCCTCACACTGACATGTCCTAGGGTTCGACTAAGGTAATGTCATAACTATTCTTTGGACGTATGACTGAAAATATTTATTTTTCATTGGGATTTAATAAAATGTAACTGGGATATTACAATGGTGCACTAATCACTATTATAAAAAGACTAACTGATTCCGTGTAGGGTTCGACTTCAAACTCCTAGGGTTTAACTAACAAGTACAGTGTTACCAAATAATGTGTTTGGTAACTCTCATAATTCAATGTATTAGTTTTGAAGCGTAGAATTGGGTTATTACATTCTTATTTCTTTTCCAAAGTACTCCTACACTGACTTCCACCAATTACCGCGTCACATTAACCAAAGTGCACAAAATAGTTGGGCCATATATTGTTCTAGTGAAGACAGTGTTGTAACGAGTGTTATTGTATCGTGTATTATGTATGATGGGGTCATTAATATTTGTTGTTTAACCCGCTTGTACTTAACCTTTTATTGATATTTGACTACCAATGATGTGTTGCATGACCCTTTATTGATATCATGATCCATTTCATATTCCACGATCAACAAGTAGGGATTATCACTTGGATTTATAGTAGTACTACTAATAGTAATATTGTAACACTGAAACTGATCAGGGTTGTGCTGTAACGCTTAGAAATAACAATCATAACACAAGTAATGGTTTATGTCACATTTGAACTACTCTACATGACGTACGTATGTATGTAACTGTCTATTACAAGGGTTGGATTGAAGGGTCCTAGGGTTGGACTGAAGTTTTGCTGAATTATAATTTATCCACTGGGATTAAAAATAATTTATCTGGGTAGTGAAATACTACGCTGTGTACATTTTTGAAAGTGGTACTAATACTCTTTAGGGTTCGACTTCAAAATCCTAGGGTTTAACTATGAAGAGTAGAGTATCGAAAGAAGGTGTTTTCTAAGAATACTTGATGAATGTTGTAGTATTATAGTGTTCTTAGTTTCTGAACACATTCTGTACTCAGGTCAAAACTATTTCAAAACTTACTTGTACACCTAATCCGTCACATTGTCCTACTTGCACAAAATATGTATGCCAAATTACATAGAAAGTCTTGTTTCGATTTATATTCAAGTGTCCTATACCTTTACCGTTGGGAGCACAAAATGCTCTTTGTACCACGAATACTTATTACGTGCTTCACTTTAGGACTAATCTTGATTACTTGCATGAGATATAACAAGGCCTTTTGTTGATTGTGTTAGTAATCACTCATTTTCCATTCCATTTTCATTGATGTACATTCACTCCCGTTGAATTAATACATATAACTGGGATACAGAATAGTAGCACTGGAAGAATTATTATCCAACTGAAGTGTAGAAGGGTACGACTGCTGTTTTCAACATGCTAATTCAATCCACACATTATGGAGTCAGTTACTTGAAAAAGGTTTGTAATAAAATTGGGGTACAACTGTCAATAGGTACATTGAAGCTCTTTTTTGTAAATGGGGATGCTAAGATATCTGCATGTGTGGGGTAACCTTGGCGGCAAAAAATTCACAATTTACCGCCTTGTGAGATCTATATAAGGGGACAAAGTTACTCTTCATTTCACTCTTATAATTCCTCTAACATGTCTTTTAACTCAAGTTCTTCAACTTCAAATAGGGCACGGTATTTTTCAACTCCAAAATCAAATGTAATTTGGATTGCTGCTAAGAATTGCAACTGTGGAGGACAGTCTCTAGCGGAGTTTCGAATTTCGATGTCTGCGGCCAACCCTCACAGGCCTTACTACTAGTGCCGCTACTGCAATTTTGGCAATGGGTAAGTGAGGTGGATTTCATCAGCCACGGAAACAGAACTTCTATGGGTGTTCTTAGTCAGAGAATTGACAATTTGGAGCGTATCGCGTGGAAGCTTATAAAGCTTGTTGTTGTTGTTTCCATTATCACAATGTTGCTAAAATTAAAGTGATTTATCCAAGAACGTTTATCATCCTCGATTGTGCGTGTCGCTTTCATTTTAATTATGTTACTAGTGAAAATTTAATTGCTTCACAACCTTTTATGTACTCGGAATGTAAAATTATTTTCCCTTAATTGTACTAGTATTACAGCTAAATTAATTATTTGGGTACTACTATATATCATGCCTTACGAATAGTAAAGTAGCACCAGTTAAGAAAGGGAATTATTTCAACACACCAACATGATTTTAGTATCATAAATTAAGCCCCAATGGGTATGACCACATCAAGGCTTAACATACTACACAGTCTCAACAGATACATTAACCAAAGTCTTAACATTTGAAACAGAGTTCTTAAAACTAACAGCATCAACATAATAACAGCAGGTGCAAAACCCAAAAGTCTGAAAAAAAAGACACCCCGATTAGCTTGGTACGTAATAGCCGAATAGGTAACACTAGACCCATAAACACAAAGAAACCCAGCATCTTCAAGGCGTGAGGTGGTCATTCCAGTCATGGATTGTGGGGTCATCTTGGCCTACTCCAGTATAGTCACCACTGCTTGAAGAAGAGGCCGATTTCGGTGACGGGGTAAGGTGATCATTCCAGTGATGGGTTGTGGGATCATCAGTCGGATCACCTCCGGAATATGGCGAATATGACGATGGTGGGGTCGGGGTCCTTCCTCCTTGTGTACTTGACTAGTTGACTACATTACACCACCAAATGGTTAGGTAATACACTTTAATTAACCAAGACTAAGACCCAACATAAGTTCCTCTTCCCTGTGTACTTGCTAATGACCCAACATAAGTTCCTCCCACAGACATACTATTAAAAACAATATATAACACTAAAATGAATATATAAGATCATAAACTAATTTTTGACTAATTAACTAGGATTTAACAATCTAGAGTAATATCAAGTAGTGAGTAATATTCTTGGACACCCATTTAATTTTTTGGTAACGAAATTTTAGTACATGTTGCGTTTTGAACGTGTTGTCCAAGAAGGACTAATTACCTCAATCTCGACACCAAGTTGATGCCCAAAGTACGAATCTCCTCTCTTAGTCACCCATGGGTTCAATTCTTTCATATCCCAAATGAGCAGCACCTCACTATACCCATTGTTACCTCCAAACACTTCAATGTCGTAGACACTCCGAAGCTGGAACTTCAGGTAATCCGCTGTTGATTGGTCGAACCGAGCCTCAGTGACTACCACAAGAACAGGGACGTAAAAAGAGAACAACTCACAGAAAGTCTCAACAAATGACGGCATGTGGACATTCCTAGCATTCCAAACGATGACATTGGACCCAAGAGGTAAGTAACGTTGAGTTGTTTCAACGTCAGTCTCACAGCCGTGGAGTGATACACGAGAATACTTCACCTTCTTCTTCTCTGTAATACAACAATGCACATCCAAATGAATTGATTTGAGGTTGTTCTGTACCTCCATAATGTGAACAGCTGCGATTGATGCACCTATGAAGACGTGCCTTCGTTGTAAAGGGAACGTGTAGATCGGGAGTTGGTCGGGCTGAACTAAAGGCTTTAAATCAAAGATTGGAACAATATCCTTAGGGATGAACTCGTCATCTCCAGTGACGGAGTTTTCACACACCCATTTTGCGAAAGGGCCAACCCCCTTGTGGAGATAACCTTGCAAATCTGACAAGTCTGGATAGTAAATAGGTCGGAGTTTTTGCTCAGCCACTTCCATCAAGCTGTTAGGAATGTAGGTGGTGGTATTCAGGTTAAGAGAATTGATCAGCTTCTCTCTCAGGAACCTAGGATGAATTCTCACACTATCCGCAAAGGATTCGTGATCATCAAAATAAGGTGTGTAGTTAAAATCAAGTTCGGGGGTGTTTGTGGTGATGAAGGGCTTGAAGTTTATCACTGGCTCGGTAGGGTGTTCAAGTACGTACCTTCCCCAAGCACCCATTACATAAGTGGGATCATTTCCAGGGCTAGTCATGGCTTTGGTACTTTTTGGGGTTTTTTTTTTTCAAGCAACGGGTTCAGAGCTTTCAAGAGAGAAGGAATAAGTAGTAGTAACTGCAAATTGAATGGGGAAGGTTATAAGAATTCCACTATGAGATTTTTATAGTAAATGTGGGAAAGGGAAAATTAAAGGAAGTAAAGAGTTAATGTAGTTAAGATACATTTGACCAAATCCCAGAAAATCCGAACAGCAGAACAGTAGAGAAGAGTGTAGGGGTTTCTTTCTTTTACGAGGGCAACTGACAACTGGTAAGTTGAACTGAGCAAGCAAAAAATAGAGATAAGACAATACATATTCAGTGGTAGTACAATTTTTTTGGGGGCTCAAGGCATCAAGGCATAGCCTTATATTAGAAGGGTAAAGCTAATTTAGTGGTAAAGAAAGCACATTTTAAATGAGCCATCATATTAAGGTTGTAGGAGGTTTGCATTTTGTAAAAGACAACCCCATCACAAATACAATTTCTTACTTCCTTGGACATTTTTGGGCTATAATAGACTTTTGGGAATTAAAAGACTTAAATAATGAGTTTACGCCTTAAAACCTCAATAATTTAGTATTTTAGGAAAAAAAAATTAAACGCAAAACTTTGACTAGTGGTTTGCCTCAAGGCCCCAAATTACAAAGGTTGACTTTTTTTTGACAAAAAAGATTGACTTTATAGCAATCACACGCTGATATTGGTCGATATATTTTTTGTTTTGCTTTTTACAGTCACTGTATTATATTCAAAATTTCAAATTTATATATGATGAGAAAGAATTAGTTTAAGCTAAGATTTGTAAACTTTTTTACTT